AAAAGAATAGATTTTATTAATTGTTTACAGAGAGAAAGGGAGAGGGATAGAGAGTTAGAAACATCCATGAGAGAGAAACATCGATCAGCTGCCTCCTGCACACTCCCCACTGGGGATGTGCCTGCCACCAAGGCATGCCCTTAAAATATCTCTGCTAATTAATTCCATTTTTTAAAAGAATAGATTTTATTAATTGTTTACAGAGAGAAAGGGAGAGGGATAGAGAGTTAGAAACATCCATGAGAGAGAAACATCGATCAGCTGCCTCCTGCACACTCCCCACTGGGGATGTGCCTGCAACCAAGGTACATGCCCTTGACCGGAATTGAACCTGGGCCCGTTGAGTCTGCAGGCCGATGCTCTACACACTGAGCCCAACTGGTTAGGACAATTAATTCCCTTTTAATGTGCACGAATTTCATGCACTGGGATACTAGTAGTTGTAGATATGTAATATTCATTTCTTTTCTTGAATTTACTATAGTGTTTTTTCCCAATATAAGGCTTATTCAATAAAACTGTTAAAAATAACAGTGAATTAGTAACAAACCTTAACCTATTAAGTATAAGCAAATTTTGGTTTAAAGCATTTAAAAATTAACACGGTACTAATGTTCACATATGACATATGAACCAGAAATTTTCTCTATTAAATCTGAAATCTATAAAATCAAGGTCTGCAAAATTGAGGGTTTACTGTACTGCATTTGCCTACTCTGTGATCTGATGGGAAACCTTGGTTTTAATTGCTTATTGGTACAATTAGATTTCCTTATTATTTTAAATAATAAGTTATTTGGTCACATTCCTCAAGTAAAACTTTTAAAACACTTCCATTGTATTATTATTTTTCTTATTATCTTTAATATACAGGGGGGCAAAAGGCGGTTTACAGTTGTAATTGCAAAACACAATCTCTGTAAAATATCAATAAAATATATTAAAAATTAAAAAATAAAAATAAATAAATAAGGAGACAAAGAAACGACCACCAAATGAAAGAATAGGAGGAATCACCAGAAAATAATTAAATGAAATGGAGGCAAGCAATACATTAGATAAAGAATTCACAGTAATGGGTATAAGGGTGCTCAAACAATTGAATGATAACTTAAAGCAATTTAATGAAAATTATAAAAAACTTAATAAGAAGTACACCAGCATGAAAAATGAGATTGTAACAATAAGTAAGAATCAACGGGAAATGAAGAATGGCATAAATGACACAAAGAATAACATGAAAGAATTCAATAGAGTCCTACAACTAAGGATATAAAGAAAAAGCCACTGAGACCCATAGGAGAGAAAGAGACACTGAACAGGCTGGTTGAAAAGACTGGTCCCACATGCACATGTGGCAGATAAAACTTCCCTAACCTCTTAAAGGAAATAAAATACATATCCAGGAAGCACAGAATCCACAACAAGATGAACCCAAAGAAGCTCGCTACATAATTAAACAGCAAGTGGTTAAAGACGGAGAATCTTAAAAGAAGCAAAAGAAAAGCAGTTAGTTACCTACAAGGGAACTCCCATAAGACTGTCAGAAGATTTCTTAACAAAAACTTTGCATGACAAGTGGATTGGCAAGAAATATTTAGACTTATGAAAAGCAAGAACAACATCATTTAGATTTGAAGGATATATAAACAGCTTTCAGGAAAAGAAAAAGTTAAAAGAGTTTATTACCACCAAACCAGTGTTACATGAAATATTAAAGAACAAGAAGAAAAAAAATATATATGAACAAAAATGACAGAAAACTTCCCTGACCTGGTGAAGAAAAATGTCACACAAGTCAGGGAAACACAGAAAGTAACAATAAAGATTCATCCAAAAGACCTACACCAAGATACATCATAATTAAAATGTCAAATGTTAAAATCCAAGAATCATGGCAATAAAGACCAAGTGAGCAGCACCTGGCCCATCTTGTCCCCACTCTACCAGCAGAGCAGCACCCATGCTGGCCTGCTGAATTTACACATGGAACTGTACCTGGCCTGGCCTGCCACCCTGACCAAGTGGAGCAGCAGCTGGTCTGGACTGCCAACCTCACCAGTGGAGTAGCACTAGGCCTGGCCCACTTCCCACCCAGAAGTGCAGCAGTTCCTAGCCCACCACACTCCCTACACAAGCGGAGCACCAGGCCCACTCCATCACCTTAACATGTAATTTGCCAAAACCCAGGGACCTGCTGCCCTAATTCAATTCACCCAACCCGGTGCCTCCAAACAACTGGCCCACCTCCTTGAAGTGTTGTTCCTGAACTTACCACCATGACCCAAAGCCACCAAACACATGGACCTGTCACTATGACACACTATTCCTGACCCAGAGCAACTGGACCT